GGGCCTCCATCCTAAGTTTGTCTAATCTTTTTAAGTTTAGAGTGTTCCAGGTAGGTTAGACAAAAATTGAGATACTGTAAGGATGGGGGGGGGGGGGGGGGGGAGTTGTGACCTTGAATTGATATGTGTTCGTAGAAATTGTGGAAGCTCTTTAAGATAAACTCAGTTGTAGGTACAATATTGCCCGCATAGTTTTTAATAGCCCCGAAGACAGTTGACTCTTGAGATCGGGCAGTTACAGCTAGCAGATGGCTGTTTGTAGTAAGAAACAATTTTAATCAAAAATAGGTTAAGTATTAAGAAGCGGATGTGTATGGATCTTTTTTGGAAATAAGAATATTGTTTAGTGCCACTTTAAGCTCCCTAATATCTCTGTTTCATGAATGCTCTACAAATCTCTGAGGGGTAACAGGTGAGGATCTAGTCTAGTCTCCCTATATCTTCTTGTAGCTCTCACAAACTAACTGGTATACCACAGGGGTCATTGGTTCTATTGTCTCTCCTACTGACCCTTTTTTCCAGAGTGTAGGACATTAGAGGTGGCAGATCAGACCCTTGATATTACCATGAATATACCGAATCACTCTCTGCTATTCTGTTTTATGATGATATTTAGACAATGATCCCCTAGCAAGTGACAGCTCTTATAAATTAAAATACTATATTTTTCAGCTATAGACAGCTTTGGTTGGCTACTTTTTATGTTTGAACACATTAACACGTTATCTATGTTACTGTTAACATTTGTTTCCCAGAAATAGACATTGTGTTTAGAACAGATTGTGTCTGGATCTGGGAATTTGGTCCTGCGCGGATATACAGTTAGGGATTCACTAGGAGATCCTGGTCCATACAGCTGCCTATCTGTCATTGGTTTGAACAGGCTGGCAATGATCACCTGCACATTCCCAGATGGGTGAATACAGCCCTTCGCATGGTTGTATGGATCAGTAAACCCTTGTGAATGAGACATTAATGGACTGAAGTCTAAAGTTTCAGCGTGAGAGCTCCTGCCTGAAGGGAAGTGATTACTGCTGTGCAGTCTTTTTAGATAACCTATAGGAATTTAGGAATACTCGTGTTCCTTTTAATAATTTATTGTTGGCAAAAAAAAAAGTACAGTGTGTATCCGTTTAAAAAAAAAAAATTAAACTTCAAGCCTCTGTGTTTCACTTTTAATTTTATATTTCAAAGTACAAACAATTTTGTTTTTTTTTTAGAATTTTGATAGACTTGGAAAGGATTAGAACTATTGGGTTTTACTGCTATTAGCAGCTCTGTTGGAGCTATTTTTCTGCACTTAACTGTCCCAGTGGTGATGGTTCAACTAGACAGAAAATAAAGCAGGCCATAGATTGTGATTTTCTTTCCTGTAACCATGGCTGTGTTGATGGGGAATCCCTCTTGAGGAGCTATTGTGTTCTCCCAGCCAAGGGGTGCGGGGAGCAGTCCCTGAAGAGAGAACATGGTGATTGCTGCAAGCGGCAATAGCTGCTGGCAATAATCCCATTGCTAAAAATCCAACATGCTGGTTGTACCTAAGTCAATCGATACCCAGCCTGCCCATAGATGGATAGAACCATTCGATCCATCTATGGCTGGCTTAAGAGAAAATTTCCAACATCCTGGCATTACAGTGTACACTGGAGGGATAGGCAGAGAGTGGTGACTAACAGTCATTGTTCACAAAGCTGACCAAGTGATCAGAAGTCATGTGATCATTCAGTTCTTAGAGCTGGCAGGGCTAGGCCTTTTGACTGAGACCAGAACAACTTTTGTTACCAGGCCGCAAGGCCTAGCCATTTGTACAAGGTGTTATCAAAAATTTTCAAGACTAGTTTTGTAACACACCAACAGATGGCAGCACAAGGCCGCAGGCCCAGTCACAGGGAGCATTGGTCTTCATAAGTCAGAGTGCCAAAAGTCATCATCCTGTGTACATTAGGATCTGTGTAACTGATGCTGTTTTGACAACGTTCGTTACCACGTGTGCTATTTCATCATGGACAGCAAGTTAGAATAAGGAGCAAACGTGAAATTTTGCGTGAAACCTGTACACCCAAGTTTCATCATGGTAATGATCCATGACATGAAGGATGGGATATCCACAGCACTCTACTGGAGTTCTTGGCAGACTTCAGTGTGGTGTTCCTTCTGCTCCGGGGTCAGCAGCCTGGGGAAGAACTTTGCAGCGACACAGAACATTCTAAAATCACACGTGATGATTGCCTGGACTGTTCCATATGACACACTGACAATGGCAGCAAGTTGCCGAATGGTTTCAACTTTTTTGGGGTTGAGCATTTGAAACGCTTGCCACTCAACACAGCTTGACTGACCCATTGCAGCAGCACCGTAAACTTTCTGAATCATGTCAAAAGTCTCTGGCAGATTTGCCCAGTTTCACATGGAATTTCACGTTTGCTCACTGTGACACTGCATCTAGCCTTGTGCTGCCATCTGTTAGCGTGTTACAAAACTAGTCTTGAAACTTTTATACCACCTCATATGTGCATGGACACCTTTTTTAGTTTTTCATTTATTTGTTCTCCAGGTGTACTTGATGCATATTTTTTTTCCCACTTACAGGATAGTAGGGTGTGAGTCTAAGGGCCTACCCCAATGTCTAGGGCAGCAATGGGCAAACTACGGCCCGCGGGCCGTATACGGCCCGGCGGACCTTTTAATCCGGCCCGCGGAGCTAGGCTCCCGCTAGGCTCCTCTCACAGTCCGCCCTGAAGACCGGTGTAGCATGAAAATCTGTCTCCTATGAGGATCTGTCCCCCTCGACGTATCTGCGCATGTGCCGGAGATCGCCGATCAGCTGCTAATGCCTGAAACTGGCACATGCGTAGATACGTCGAGGGGGACAGATCCTCATAGGAGACAGATTTTCATGCTACACCGGAATGGCGCGGGAACAGGGCGAGAGGAACGCGCGGAGCAAAGGTAAGTGAATTGACACGGGGGACTTGGGGACTTAATATGGGGGATGAATTAATATGGGGAATGAATTACTATAGGGGGGATGAATTACTATGTGGGGGATGAATTACTATGTGGGGGATGAATTACTATATGGGGGATGAATTACTATATGGGGGATGAATTACTATATGGGGGATGAATTACTATATGGGGGATGAATTACTATGGGGGATGAATTACTATATGGGGGATGAATTACTATGGGGGATGAATTACTATATGGGGGATGAATTACTATGGGGGATGAATTACTATATGGGGGATGAATTACTATGCTTACTATGGGGGAATATTACTATACTTACTATGGATGACACATACACATCATTCATCTACTCTTGGTCCGGCCCCCGGGTCCAATATATGAACCCATTGCGGCCCTCAAGTCAAAAAGTTTGCCCACCCCTGGTCTAGGGGGAGGATGCATGGCCTTTAGGTTTCTTCCTCCCCCTGGCTTTGTGGGGGACTATTTTTTTTTTAGGAAGGCCTCTTACCTAGTTCTCCTGGTCAGTTTTGGCTGATCATGAGAAGAGAGGTTCGCTGCTTCTTTTAGCCAGGTGGACCGAGTGTGCCCTGTCAGGAGATTTGAACCCCAGGGGGTCAAGGAAAGGTCCTTCCTCTTCGGGAGGGGACCATATGACACACCCTAGTGCACTTTTTTGTGTGTGCATATGCATTTATTGCTTTATTTTGGTGTGTTTTTTGTTTTTGGACACCACAGGCTCTCATAGAAACTTTCTTTAATACACTATTGCAGCTATGTTTATGCAGATCAGACTTGTATTACCACATTCTAAGTAGTAAAAGAAAACCTGTAATGTGTGCCACTTTTTCTTACCCCTTCCCTTATCTGAAGTATTTATTTTCAGCACTTTCTTCTTGTTGCCCAATTTTTATTTCACCAAGTTTCATATCATTGCACCAAAAAATACCCCAGCTTTCTGAAGTGGTTTTTACTTAATTTGAACCTGCATTCAACACTTGAGTCAACAACATAGTTTTAGTGCTGTGTTAACTGGAAGTTGTGGAGCACAACTTGTACTTTGTATTTATATTCCACTGTGAAATAGAAGTGGGAGGACTTCAGAACTATGTAAGCTCCAACTGGATGATCTATGTACATTGCAGGGATTTTAATAAACTTTGTTGCAGATTCCTACCTTTTTTGTTATTCTGAAGAAATGGCTTGTCAGTGTCCATGTGCAAAATGAATCTGTATGGGAGTGATTTTATAGTTGTCAATCAGCTGCTGCACCTGCAGGGCTATAATGAGGAAACTGGCAAAGTCTGCATCCTTTTTAGACGTGATTTTCCTTAGGAAGTATTTCACCAAAAACTAAATTTTTGTTGTGGGCGGTGCCAACAATCTGACATGTATCTTAGTGCAGATTTCTGGGAAAAATCACAGCCAATCACACAAATAGGAAATTACATTTTCGGGGAGAGTTCTGTACACAGTCTGTTTACAGAACACCACCAGGTAGCCATATTGGATTGCATTTTACAGAAAATTACAGTGCCGCTGATTGAAAAGAAGAGGTCATTTTTTCTAACGTTCAATTACAATATGACTTGAGTTGCAATTGTATACATTATATTATTATTATTTTTTTTTACTACTTGAGCTAATTGTTTTTCCCATGCAAGTGGGGTTACCCTTTAAACAATATTAAATAATACTTCCTTTTTTTTTCCATCTTGCTCCTTATGGTTAAATGAAGCAGTGTAAGTGGGAAAGGAAAGCAAGTACATGCTGCGAGGATGGGTGACATTTGAGTAAACCTATTGCATTGCTCTGCATGGGCAAAGCACAGGATCACTTTAAGCAGAACAAAGATTTTGGTGGATGATTTTGGTGCTGGTGACTGAGCTACATTTGTTTTCCTTTACATTTTACATACTGTTCATCAAAATGCAGCCCATCGGTGTCCACATGCCTTTTATGTGGGAAGTCTAGATGCAGATTGTACTTAAGAGTTCTGCTTTAATAGCATAACTGTTTTGCCAAACAGGGAGGAAATCGAGAAACAGAAGGCAAAAGAACGTTATATGAAAATGCATCTAGCAGGAAAAACAGACCAAGCAAAGGCTGACCTGGCCCGCTTAGCAATCATCCGGAAACAGAGGGAAGAGGCAGCAAAAAAGAAGGAGGAAGAAAAGAAATGTGAGTTTATTTCCATTGCTTGCACTCATTTTTCACTGCAGTTTTATGTGAGTTGGACCTTTTATGTTTAAAAAGAAAGATGAATTAATAAGTTTGCAACCTACAAGTAAAGAGGTCATGGCTGGACCATAATAAATCTCATTTGGCCATTCACAAACCGCACAACCCCATATTGCATTTTGTGAATAGCCAAGAGCAGAGGGAAGCGGAGACACAACTGTAGCATTGGTGTCTGTCTGGTGGTAAGCACGTGATTGTGTGAAACGCGTTACCAGCTATGCCCTGGTGTTATTTATGTCCTTCCATGGATTAATAAATTATCTGTACTTTTATCATCATTTCTCCGGTGTGCGGCCAAACCCTTCTTCTAATTTGTCTGTGGGGTCTGCGGCTCTTACATCTGAGCGGCCCAGAAGTACATTGGGAGCTGCAGTTCTTTTGGTTGCCCTCCACAGAGCAGTTAAGCTGGGTACACAGCCAGCAGACTGAATGAAAAAAAACTAATGGATTCCTGCATCCCCCCATTAGGACATTGTATTCTGACAGCAGGGACTTTCCACTGTCCAAAATACAGTGATCAGCGCTGCAGCTGTTGGGGGGGGTTGCGGATGGGCTACGCACAGATCAAAATTCAGAAAGTATCTTTGTGTACCCAGCTTTTATTGGCCAGCCAGGTTTATGAACATTAAATCTAAATGTTACCATGCATCTACTTCACAACAACAGGCAATGAGATGTTCCCATCCTTGAATGCCTTCAGAAAGCACTCGGAACCTGCCATGACAGTGGTATGTAGGGTACATTGAATTTTTCAGCTGTCTCCATAGAACAATGGAGGATCAGAATCTTGTCACAGGAAAGTTTTCCAACAAGTTAAAAAAAAATGTCCCTTTACAGTAACAAGCATTCTTACTGCCTGGGGTGCTTGGTATGGTAGCACAGCTAATCCAGGGTATACCTTTTATTCGTTTACAGCACTGCAGCCTCTGCAGACATCCGCAGACAGAATCTAAAGTTTAGCAATGCAAGTTTACATTAACACATACATTTTTTTTTTTTTTTACAGTAAAAGATACAACGGGAGCAGCGGCCAAAGGATTGCAATCAATGTCTCTTAATAAATAACTACTCCGTCATGGAGACCACAGCCAGAGGATCCTTGGGCCAGGGCAGCTATATGGTCTGTAGACTATTGTCTGGCCCTTTGAGTGTCCACAACATACTATCTCTGATCAAGCCGGCGCAGCATTTCCAGGCTGAGGATACTGTTATGAAAGACTGGACATGCAATGTGCACGTATTTATTTAATGCTGAGTGTTTGTGGAGATTGGGTCCTGAAGGAGGGGAATAAAGGTTGGAATTCAAAATAAATTGTATATTTGATTTTCTTTTTTACTTGAATAAAGAAAACCTGGTCAATGTTTATGATAAAATATATAAGCAGTGATTACCTTCAGTAAAAATCACACTTTTTAAACTGTTATGAATCGAATATCCAAATCTATAGGTAGCTAAATGGTTATGGAAATTCTGATTATTACTGCAATAAGCCAAATGTATAGAGGAGTGGAACACTGCTTCAGAGCATTTTGTATTCCTACCATAGTACACCTGTGAGATGGTAGTAGCAATGTTTTCAAATACTGTCCAAGAAAAATGCAGACTGCATCCTGCCTGGCAAGTATAGCAATAAATGAAGACCACTTAATCCCGTTTTGACAGCTGGAAAGTGAAAGTTATATTTTGACAGTCAGGAATCATACTGTAAGAAAAACATTAAGGCTCCATTTACACTAGATTTTTTCAAATTGCGAGCGTAATTGCCCCGATACTGCCTGCAATTTGAAAAGTGTGAAAACCGTGTTTTCAAGTGCCATTCTTTCGATCACGCAAACAAAATTGCGGGATGCGCAACATCCAAAAAGGTTCTGGAACTTTTTGGGGGTGTCCCGCGATTTTGTTTTGCGTGATCACCACACTTTTGCCGTGCCACGATCACGCAAACAAAATCGCGGGACGCCCAAAAAAGTCAGAATCTTTTTGGGTGTCGTATGTCCTGCAATTATGTTTGCGCAATCGCCGCACGTTTGCTGTGATGAAAATCGCACCACTATCGTGGCAAAAACGCCCTGCATTTTCAGGTGGTATTCAAGTGAATGGCATATGAAAATGCGATCGGGCAATTTCACACTTTGACAGCACATTTTCAAATTGCGAACAGAATTGCAGTGATTCCGCCCCGCTTTTTGAAAAAACCTAGTGTGAATGGTGCCTAGGGCTCGTTCACACCATTGTGCAGACATGGCAGTTTTTCTGCATGCTTTCTGCAAGGGGACATCAAAATCGGTTCTTCTCTATGTTCCCTGTTCACACCACACTAGTATCACGTGCAGATTTTTTTTATGTGCAGGAACCTGCAACATACATGAATACTGATGTCTCTGTCAGTAAAATCTGTGCGTTGGTTTCCTTCAGTTTTTCTGCACGTATGATGTGAACGAGGCCTAATGGTCAGGATCACTTCTAGTCTATTCACATTGTGTTCGATCAAGCCCTGATGAAGGGGGTGTTTTTGGACCCCTGAAATATGTTGACTACTCTGGGCTGTCTTCCTGGCTTTTATTGGATTAAATTTGTATCTGGACCTCTTAGCATTTATTTGGGACTTTAATTTCCATTTTTCTCACCTCTGTTTTTTATGGCCTTTTTACTATCTAACCTTACAGTGGTTGCATGAAGGTAAAAAACCTCTGTGTAGCATCCCCCCTAGCCCCCCCCCCCCCCCCAATACTCACCTAAGCCCCTTCTCAATCCAGCGATGTGGACTGAAATCTCGTCCATCTCGGGACTTCCTCTCCTCATTGGCTGAGACGGAAGCCGGAGCCGTTGGCTCCCACTGCTGTCAATCACAACCATTGAGCCAATGAGAAGAGGGGGGGGCCGAGCCGCGGCTCCGTATGTGAATGGACATAGGCAGCAGCAGGTGCCCCCATAGCAGCCTGCCTGCTGTGGGGGTACCTGACAGCAGGGAAGGGCCAGAAGGGGACCCAAGAAGAGGAGGATCCTGGCTGCTCACTGGAAAACCACTGCACACAGCAGGTAAGTATAGACATGTTTCTTATTTAAAAAATAAAAAGTCTTTCGAATCACTTTAACCACTTGCCAACTGCGCTATAGCCGAATGACAACTACAGCGTGGTTGTCCAGTTCTAGGAGGGCGATCTCCGTGATCACTGTGCCCTATGGACACAGCTGATCACGTGATGTGGTAAAAGGCCAATCACAGTGGCCTTTTACCACGTGATCAGCTGTGTCCAGTGACACAGCAGATCACCAGTAAATGCAGTTGCCGGTGATCAGCTGCACTTTCCTCACACTGTCACAGCATGAGAAAGTACTGCCGATAACCGGCAATTTTCAGAGAACGGACCGATTCCGGTCAGTGCCTAGTAGTTGTTGCTTATCAGTGTTGCCTATCCATGCCGCCTATTAGTGCAGCCTCATGAACGCACATCAGTGAAGTAGAAAAAACTACCTGTTTGCAACATTTTACAATAGAAACAAAAACTTTTTTTCAAATTGTTTGCTCTTTTTTTGTTTATAGTACACAAAATAAAACACCCAGTAGCAATTAAATACCAACAAAAGAAAGCTCTGCTTGTGTGAAAAAAATAAGTTCATATGGTTACAGTGTTGCATGACTGCGCAATTATCCAAAGTGCGACAGTGCTAAAAGCTGAAAATTGGCCTGGGCAGAAAGGGGTATAAGTGCCAGGTAGGCAAGTGGTTAATGTAGAACTACATTTTTTGGGTAGAGCAAGGGAGGATTATAACCCTTGTTAGATTTTTTTTTTTTTTTTTTTTTTTCTCCATCTGGGTTCCGTTTCGGAGATTTCCCTTCCTGTCCCATAACCAAACAGGAAGTGAGAGGAAATAACTGCAAAGTAAGGGAATTTCTTGGGGACCCCTAGGTCACCAGATCTAGTGTCCCCATTGGAAGATTTCCCCTCTATTACTTTTCTAGGGACAACCCGAAATTTAAGATTTTCTTTAACTTCACTTTCCATAATGGTAAACAAGACAAACGGAGGGTAAATCTCCTTAACGGGGGCACAGAGAGTAATAAAAAAAAAATGAAAAAAGCTTTTAATCCCTCTGCACTCTAGTCAAAACTAAAAAAAAAAAAGATCTTTCGTTGTACTTTAAAGTGGTTGTACAGGCTCAAGGTTTTTTTTTACCTGCATGCATTCTGTGTCCAGCAGCCCCCCCAGCCCTCCTAACACCTGAGTCCGATAGCAATCCAGCAATGTGCACGAGAGCCTCAGCTCTCTGGGGACTCTCCCTCCTCATTTGCACAGCCAGCGAGCTGATGAGAGAGTGGGTGGAGCCAAGCTACGGCTCTGTGTGTGAATGGACACGCAGAGCAGCGGCGTGGGAATGAGCCTGCTTGGCTCTGCGGCACTCAGTAGGAGGGAGGGGCCAGGAGCGGGGGGGGGGACCCAAGAAGAGGAGGATTGTGGATGCTCTGTGCAAAACCACTGCACAGAGCTGGTAAATATGACATGTTTATTTGTAAATATTGCCTTTAATGTGACTTTAATTCAAGCGTTCATTCCTCTGTATATTATTCTGTATGGACACTTCCCACATCTCTAAGACCTCTCAGTGGTTATTGCACACTGCTAGCTGGACTTGTTTTAGATGTCCCCACTGTTTTAGAATTCCCAAATTCCTTTGTCCCTCAATGGACTAAAAAATAAATCTTTTGTACTTACTGTAAAAATCTGTTTCCTAAGGTTCACTGAGGGACACTGGTCCCACCCCTCCTTTTTTCAATGTATCTACTACTTGCTAACAAAATTGAGACATTTTAGGTAGAGGAAAAATTTTCCAGGGCCTGGCTCAATGATTTTATCTATTTGCCAGTGTCCCAATCACCTGTAGGTAGCAGTATAACATGATTGTTTCAGATTTCCTGTGTCCTTCAATAGAGTTCAAGAAATCGATTCTATGGTCAGTACAAAATTCTTATTTTTTTTTTTTAAGTTTTCACAGCTTTTTAGGGATTGCTAGAAGATGTGCCATGAGAGGGAGAGCTATAAAGCTCCATGCACAGGTACAGGATAGCAAAAGGAATGGTATGGGTCATTGTAAGTTCATATCTCTATTGTTTAGGGATAACTAGGAACAAGGGGGTGGGGGGGAGCAGAAGGGGAACGTGCCCCGGGCCCAGATTTGTATTGTGTGGTGGTGTGCCAGTGGTGTCACTGGTGCTGGGCTCCCACGGCACAAGCCTGCATCTCCTGCGGGGTGCTGTGATCGCCAACACTGCAACAGTTGGCATCTCTCCCCACCGGCTGCCATTTAAAACAGAACAGTTATCATCAGAGCCAAGGGGGCGCTTCTAGGCTCCTCCTTGGCCTCCGATGTGTCTTATGACAGAAAAGGAGGAGGGGTGATTTTTAGGGAAGAGGATTTGTGCTGGAGGGGAAATCAAATTTATCCTGGTACGGGGTATTGGGGTGGAGAAGATTTTTGCTCAGCACAACTGCAGCACTGTCCATTGCAGACGCCTGCCCCCTAAACGCTGCCTTATAGACTATATACATTACATTGTATATTCCATACTTCTCATTAGAGTGTTCATTGTCTCAACAGTTGCAGGTTCGTGAGCAGTCCCTGACTATTTTGATGAAGTTCTTCTTTAACCACTTGCCTACCGGTCACTTTCACCCCCTTCATGCTCAGGCCAATTTTCAGCTTTTAGTGCTGTTGCACTTTGAATGACAATTGCGCGGTCATGCAACATTGTTTCCATATTAAATTTTTATCAATTTTTTTTCACAAAGAGCAAAAAAGTTTAAAAAAATAAGTTTTTCTTTGTTTCTAATATAAAATTTTGCAAACAGATAATTCTTTTCCTTCACTGATGTGCGCTGATGAGGCTGTACTGATGAGGTGGCACAGATAGGCAGCACTGATGGGCATTGATGAGGAGGCACTGATATGCAGCAAATATGGGCACTGACTGGGGGCATTGATGATCAGGGCACGTGTAATCAGTGCGGGTGTCTTCTGTGACATTTGCCGGTTATTGGAAGTACTTTCCTCATGCTGTGACAGC